CCAACGCTTTTCCAGAGGCTGGGCGGGCGTTTGGCATCTGCAGGGTCTGGAGCAGGCCGGGTTGCTGAAAGGCCCTTTAAAATGATGTCTGAGGTTGGGGTCCCTGGCACTGCAGGAGTAAAAAGTGTCCTGACCTGAAATGACAGATGTTTGTAAGAGAAATAATGAGATTGGTATGAATGAAGTGTGTCTGTTTGTGAAAGCACCACAAAACTGGTAGATGAAGGGAGAAAAGAATGCTGTGTATCAGCTGTTGCAGAGCCCCACAGATATTCTTCAGTTTAAATATTTATCTAGCAAGAAGAGGAAGAACAGACTTGGATCCATAAAATACTTAGACAAGGAAAAAAAAAAAAAAACTATGAAATGCACAAGTTTTCCTAAGGCTTATGTGGGGTAGGGTTGTAAGACAAATTAATGAGGCAAAAAGAATCCAAACATCCACTCCTAAATCCCATTTCATGGTTTTTGCTAAATATGTACTGTATTGTAATGTGGCGACAGTTAATAAAAAAACCAAACAGAAAACCCCCAGGCTCAAACGAGTGACTTGAAAATAAATGTCATCAGATTCACCTTCATTTGCCTGAGTGTTAGAAAGGCCACATTGCTTTGGTGGTGTTTTTTGGAGGGGAGGCATGTTGAAAGTATTTAAATTAGAGTTTGAGGAGGGGGAGGAAGCGAGGACAAGAAAGTGAGGATCTCTGTTTGGATTGAAAATCTGGTGGTGTTTGGTATCTTCGTGAATCCCTGGGAGTCCCCCAACTGAAGTCAGTTGGCTAGCAAGTTGAGCCAAATGGTGGCTCAGGCCTCCTAAAAGGGGGTAAACTTTCAGTTTCTGTTGCATCTTCTCGGGGAGTGCATGTTGGGAAAACGGCAGAAGACAAACCCGTCGGTTGGTTCCCCATCCCCAGCTCAAGCAGAAGAACAGTTCGACGTGCTCACCATTTATACAGAGGTTAGATGAGCTTGAGAGTGGCACAGAAGAGGGTGTGAAGGTGTGCTGTCAGAAGGAAGGGATGGAGCCATGGGAGTCTCCTTTTGGAAACAGTGAACTGTTAGGTTTAGCTGTCTTGTCTGTCTTGTACTGCTGGTGGAGAGTGATCTGTGACTGAAGAGCCATGTGGGAAAGAGAAAAGGGAGCATAGTTAGGAAGGCAAAAGTGTGCTTTTCCTCCTTTCATTTCTCTTTCCTCCTGCATCAAGCTGAAATAAATGATGCTAGCAAAATGCGTTTAGGCATGTAACCACTAAATTATTGTTAACAAGTTTCTAGGATAGACCCAGACAAAATGGCTTCCAAGCTTTTTTTTATCTTAAATTTAAAAAAAAAAAAAAAGAGCAGTCTGCAGTATGAGTATCTGATCTTCCCCTTCTCCCCCGTAAAGACTGGGAAGTATTAATGTATATCATCTTTGTCAAAGAAAAAAAGGCATACAGGATTATGTTGCCTTTTTTTTTTTTCCCCACAAAACCATATAATAGTTTGTATTGAAGATGTTTCTTTTTCTTTCAGCTTCAACAAGGAGAAGAGGCAGGACACCGCAGTTCATAAGACAAGTAAGTACTGAAGTACTGCAACTATTTGCAGTTAACTCAGGTGTTTGAACAAGTTTTCTAGGCTGTGTCTTAACAGTTTGTACAGGAACCCATTCTGCAGTCAAAACCTGCTGAAACAGTCTGCTGTGACTATTTCAGAGCCAGCACCTACCTTCTTTAATCTCCCAGTTGTTGTTAGTCGGTGTTCTCATAAAGGCAAAGAGATTAACAATAACAAGTTAACAGTTAGCTTATATTGACACCACGTACTACTGCAGGTCTTAAAAGTAACTTAAAGCTACGCTCCCAATAAACCCAGACATTTTAATGTTGTTTTCAGTATGAGTTTACAGGATTCGTAGTGGTTGCTTTCTGGTGTAATTAAAAAATCTGATAATTGTGCATAAATGAAATTGTTCTTGCACAGTAGAATTAAAACTGATATCTGAACATTTGATCACTGAGAATTTTCTTTTTTATTCGACACAGAAGTTTCAGAAGTAGTATATTATGTGTTACGATTTTTAAAGGCAAATAGTAAAAGTGGAGCTGTCATGTATTAAATTTTTGTTTAACTTCCGAGAGCAGACTTCATGATACACCAAAGCAGACAGATCAGCTGGCTGCGTATACCCATTTGTCTTTCACCCTTCTAAATTAAAAATTAAAGTTTTGGGAAATAAACAGTGACTTTTTTTTTTAAGAGCATTTTACCAAAACCTCGATCAGTTATTGGAGGATATAAGCTATTTCTGCAATATAGTAACACATCGTTCCTATGCTAGAATTTCTATAGCAAGTAATATCAGAATTATTAGTATCTATTTCTTTTAATATGAACTCGTTCAGACTTTCAGAATTCCAGAATTTTAAAACTGACTTTTGTCACCGTTTAAGGCTGGGCCGGCTGTTAAAATGGCTCTTGCCCCCTCGCAAATGCTTAGGCACTTTAGGAAACAGAGTTTGCAATTAAATACTGTTTTGATTCCCCTTCCGCCCACTGCTGATTTATCACAATGCAAGAAGATGGTAAATTCTTCTTCCTAAGCATTTCTGAAATAAAATGCAACTGAAGATTGGGAAAGGCCTGCTCCCCAAGCTCTGGGAGGCTATCTTTTAAAAATTCATTTACAAATGAGCACTAACTTTTGATGTAAAGGCATTTTGAAATTTCTAGCTGTCGGAATTTGTTCCTGAAATAACTTCTTGTGTGTGTTGCTCTTACTTTGTCTCACAAAACAGCGTATCTCCCATCAGACTTTGATAATCTTTCAATTTGTTAGCCTGCAGCTCCCAGAACTGAGAGGATGGCTGTTGATCAGGACTGGAGCAGCGTTTATCCAACAGCAGCTCCATTTAAACCTGCCTCTGTGCCTCTCCCAATTCGGATGGGTTACCCAGTGAAAAGAGGAGTACCTCCACCAAAAGAGGGCAACTTAGAACTCCTAAAGGTAAGACACATGCCGTTGGTGTGTGATGACTTTTACCATTATTCACTAAGACCGCACTGCTTTGATTGGAATATTTGTATTGGATGCTGTTTTCTACTATTAAATAGGATAATACTCTCTTTAATTTCTAAATTAAATAGTAACAAATGCAGATCTAAGTAACAAATGAACCAAATCAGGAGACTTTTTTAAGATTATCATGCCTGTGACTTTTGTAACAGGGCTAACTTAAGTCTTTTGCTAAATCGCACTTGAGAAGAGTCTTCCTATCTGAATATTTTATTAAGCATGTTGTACAACTTAACCAATGTTGAAAGTGTAATCGGATTTCAGTAATGCCCCTTGATTTGTGAACACACAAAAGGCTGTGATTTTGGTATCTCTTAATATGTCTGTTTCAGATTCCCAATTTTTTGCATCTTACTCCTCCTGCAATTAAGAAACACTGTGCAGCTCTTAAAGGTGAGGGGTTTTTTTGTTTTGTTGGGTTTTTTCAGTTTTTAAAAACCGTCTCTCTTGGAGTTTTAAGAGAATGCAAAATATATCTGTGTGTGATGCAGTAGAACGTGAGACATGGTCTACCTCTGAAGCTGGCTACTTGCAAGCTTTGGCTAGTACTGTATGCTTTCTTGTTGCTACATCGATTCAGACAGGTGGTAAGCAGATATGTCTTAGGCGGTTTTCAGCATGCCAGTAAGACTTTAATTTTACTTTTCCGTTAGGCCCTGCTTGTACTGGACAATTTATAGTTTAGTGTCTTTAGGAAGAGGAGTGATGAATGTGACTTAGTACTCAGAAAATCAGCTGTGCTTAAACCAGAATTTCATCAGTAGCCATAGCAGCATGCATTTAAAAGAAAGATTGCTATTAATAAATGAAACTGTGAGAGCAAGGTCTGCTGGGGAGATACAGGAACGAATGAAGACCAAGAGCATCTCTGCAGCCAGCAAGCCAATAAAGAGAACCTAATGAGGAGGTTAGCCCGAAGAGAAGTGGAGGCACAAGGGGACAGAGAGGACATAAAATCACAAAATCGTTTAGGTTGGAAAAGACCCTTAAGATCATCGAGTCCAACTCTTGACCTAACGCTGCCAAGTCCACCACTAAACCATGTCCCTAAGCACCAAGTCTACGTGCCTTTTAAATCCTTGTAGGGATGGTGACTCCACCACTTCCCTGGGCAGCCTGTTCCAGTGCTTGACAACCCTTTTGGGGAAGAAATTCTTCCTAATATCCAATCTAAACCTCCCCTGGCACAACTTGAGGCTGTTTCTTCTCATTCTATCACTTGTTATATGGGAACAGAGATCAACCCCCACCTGGCTACAGGCTCTTCTCAAGTAGTTGTAGAGAGCGATAAGGTTTCCCCTCAGCCTGTATGATAAGAGGCCTGTCTTGAGTTGCCTGTATACAAATGCATGCAGCATAGGAAACGGGAGGAACTGGAAATCTGAGGAGTCACAGAAAGGCAGAGCGAAAGCTTGTATGATTGAGGTACAGGCAGGGATGATGTGGAGGGGGAGCTGACCTGTACCCAAAAGAACAACTCAGATGTAGAGCTTTTCAATGATATGCCTAGCAAGCTGGTGAAAAATTTGAGAGTTGGGATCAGAGGAGCAGCAGAAAGGGATGTCTTGGTGGGCATCTGCCACAGACTGCCTGGTTGAGAAGAGGGGGTGGCTGAACAGCTGAGAAAAGCCTCAGAACTGCAAGCTCTGGTTTTCATGGGGAACTGCAGCCATCTCAACATCTGCTGGAAGGGTAACAGGATGGGATGGAAGCAATCTAGGAGACTTCTGGAGTGTGTTGCAGATAATTTTTTCATGCAGATGCTGGACAAACTGCCTATGGGAAGGTGCTGTGTTGCATGTGCTATCACAAGTATGTAAGAACGGGTTGGAGACATCAAGGTTGCTGGCAGCCTTGATTGCAACAAGAAGATTGTGGAGTTTAAGTTCTTGAGAGAAGTGAGGAGGGGAAGTAGTGTATTGAAGGTGATGTCTCATTGTAGATGGTCGATGAGTTGACTAGGAGGCATGCTCTGTTCAGAAACAAGGAAGAACTCGTCACGTATGTAAAGGTTACGGGCACCCTTGGTAACAGTGGTCGTGAAACTGTGGTGTTTAAAACCCTGAGAGAAGTGAGCAAGACAAACAGTGGAACAACAGTCTGGATTTCAGGAGACTGATTTGGGTTTATTCAGGAATCTACTTGACGGATCTCACTGAGGACTCTCCTGGGTAGCAGGATGACCCACGAGAGCTGATGGATGTGTAAGTTCATCCTGCTTGAAAGAGTAAGAATTGTCCATTCCAGTGTGTAGAAAGTTGAGCAAGTATGGCAGAAGGACAGCATGGGTGTGCAGGGAACTCCTGAGTGACCTGAGGTGCAGAAAGGAAGTACAGAGAAAGCAGAAGCAGGTAAAGACTACCTAGGAGGAACAGGAGATTTTTGGCTGACCATCTTCAAGAAGGGCAAGAAAGAAGATGCAGAGAACTGCAGGTCAGTCAGCCTCACCACATTCCCTGGAAGATTAGGAAACAAACCTTCCTGGAAGCCATTTCCAAGCACACAAACAGATGCTTTATGACAACCTGGACAACAGTAGAGGGCACAGCCTCAGCAGGTCTTCAGATAATAACGAATCTGGAGGGGGAGGGGGTGTGAACAAGTAGTCCACTGGAGAGCAGAGCTGCCATTTGGAGGGATGTCAACAGGCAGGAAAAAAATGCACTGAAAGGACCCTCATGAAGTTAAACAAAGGCACCTGCAAAGTCCTGCACCTGGGATGGAATAACCCATGCAGTAGTAGAAGCATTTGGGGTGGCGGGGAGCAATCAGGTAGAAAGAAGCTTTGCAGAAAAGGTCATGTGGAGCTTGGTGGGCATTTGAAAGTTGAGCCAGCAGTGTGCCCTTGTGGCAAGGAAGGCTAGCTGCATACTGGGTTGTATTAGCAAGAATGTAGCTACCACATTCAGGAAATTAATTCTTTTCCGTCTGTTGAGTATTGCATCCAGTTCTGGGGTTCTCAACGCAAGAAAGACATGACCCTGTTAGAGGAGGGCCACACAAATGACCAGAGGGCTGGAGCACCTCTCCTGTGAAGACAGGCTGAGAAAGTTGGAGTTCTTCAGCCTGGAGAAGAGAAGGCTCCAGGGAGATCTTATTTTTACCTCTCAGTATATAAAAGGGGCTTATAAGACAGGGAGAGACTTCTTACAAAGGGCTACAGTGACAGGAGGATGCAAGGAAGACATTTTTTACGTTGAGGGTGGTGAGCCACTGGAACAGGTTGCCCAGAGAAGCTGTGGATGCCCCATCGTTGGACGTATTCAGGGTTAGGTTGGATGGGGCTTTGAGCACCCTGGTCTGGTGGCAGGTGTCCCTGCCCATGGTGGGGGGGTTGGAACAAGATGGTCTTTAAGGTCCCTTTCAACCCAAACCATTCCATGATTCTATTTGGCAATTGTGAGACTGCATCTGGAGTACTGTGTCCTGGTTTGGGGAACCCAGTACAAAGACAGACATTGAAATACTGGAGAAAGTCTAGCAGAGACTCTACTGTTACCTAAATCAATAGTACTTTTAAAAAGACACATTGCAATAAATTTGGAAAAACAACCAACAGATACTACTTGGAGTGTTTTCTCTTTATTATACAGACTTCTGCACTGAATGGCCAAGTGCTTTGGACAGTGACGAGAAATGTGAACAGCATTTTCCTATTGAAATTGAAACAGTAGATTATGTTTCTTCAGGGACATCTATTCGTAATCCCAAAGCAAGAGTGGTGACTTTGAGAGTAAGTAGTATTTTTGGTAAATAGCCTTTGTTTCAAAAACCCAAATGCTTGACTTTTGCACACATCTTGAAAAGAAGTATGATATGTTGTAAGGAAACGAGGGAAATGGTTTACTGCATGTCTGAATAAAAAACAGTGGATTTCCTTAAGTAGGTTGCAGCATGTTAGAACTGAGGTTGTAAGGTTGTGGCTATTTGTTTGTAAATGAAGGCTAAGGTCTGATACAAACAAAATAGTGTACCTTCTGAAGAATCTACTTCTAGAAAAGGCTGTAAGTGCCTGTGTACCCAATGTCTTGCTTAGCAATGAGAGAGTCTAATTTATAGACCCTGGAAGTGCACAAGTACTGAATGCGGCACTATTAATAAGTATTGAGTCGGCAGGCCTCCAGGCATCAGTGTGTATGGAGTAGGAGCAGCAGCCTTCTGACCACAGGATCGTGGGGTACTTGAGGTTGGAAGGCAGCTCAGGAGTTTTCCGGCCTGACCTTCTCTTCAAAGTAAGGTAGGTATGAGATCAGACCAGGTTACTTGGGACTTTATCCGGTTGGGTCTTGAAAACCTTCAGGGCTGGAGATTGCACAACCTCTCTGGACAGACTGTTCCAGTGCTTGCCCGTTCTCCTGGTAGTAAATTTAGGATTGTGTTGTGGCTTTTGCACGTGCCTTTTGAGATGAGATCTGAGCCTATCTTAAGAGCAGCAGCAGCAGCGGGGTCATTTATGATTGTATTCTTACTCTGTCAGTATACAAGTTAAAATACTGTATGATACCGTGTGCTCATAACACCTAATCATCGTAACTTTGGACGTTAGTAGTTCATTTTGTCTGTAGGAGTCTCCACTTGCCCTTTCTGTTGTAAAACCTTTTGAACTGAAATTTAAGTTGGTCTGCCGTTGACTTAAATACGCATTTCACACAACTATTAGTGGTAACTTCACCATCTCCTTGTAGTCACTGCATGCCAGAGTTTAGCCTTTTGTCTCCTAATTCAAATCCATGGTCAAGAGCAAGTTTTCACAAATTTGTATGCGTTAGAAATAAAAAGAAATGCAGTGTATCTGTGAGAATAGAAGCTCATGGTTTCATGCTGGGTTGTGAATATGCGCAGAGAGGGCACACACTGGACCCCCCTTGCTCCGCTCCCATAGTCAGCTGTCTCAGATGGAGTGATACGGGCATTTGCACTGACCTCAGTGCTGGGCACGGTGTCACAGGGAGGGGAAAGAGCTCAACTGCTCAAACAGCCTTGAATCTCCTCCCTTTAAAACCAGCAGGTGGTGAGTGTTGTGAATTTCTCGCTTTCTAAATCGTGTAAAACATTACTAAATATAAATGTCTTTTGTTAAATGTGGCTGTTGGGACACAAGATGTTGGACATGCTGGCTATGCTGCGGTGGAGAGGATAATTCCAGATGATACCCAAATAGCATGTCTGTATTATCTGTCTAAATCCGTCCATTAATGTTAACTGGCTTTGGTGCTTGTAAGACACGATGTGGATGTGTATTATGCACGTATATTAAAAAAAGGAGGGGTTGGAGTGGGAGACGAAAAAGGAACAACTATCCAAATGCTTTTTCAGTGACTGGTGTTGTGATCCCAGACTTCATTAATAAACTCATTCTCTGATTAATCCTCTGACAACAAAATCTGCCTAGGGAGGGTAAAGAGAAGGATTTAAAGGTGAAAGCAGATGGCACTGGGTCAGGTAGCGGTTGAGTTTATATCCATGAACGAGCATGCACTGTGTGCTGTGTTACAGACTATGATAAACTCTGGTGGATCTTCACAATAAGATTTCCTTTTTAGATATTGTTTAAAAGTTAAACCTTTTTAATCTTAATTAAAAAATGATGCTTTTTTTCTACCAGGTATCATAGTGGAGATGCCAATTTTTTATCTCTTGTAGCCTAATGCCAGTATTTCTTGTCATTAAATTTGTCCTAGTCTATTCCCAACTGGAATTGTCCACCTTGTGTCAGACAACATAGTACTACAGGATGTAAAATGAGACTTTTTTTTTTAAAATTAACTGCTGTTCTTTGTGGAGCTCTATCTTTTCTAAAATTCAACATAACATTGTCTGCAGCATTCCAGCTAACAATTATAAGCTGTCCAATTGCTATCCCATTTTGAAGCAAATAGCCGTATAATTATTTTTTACTTTAAAGTGACTTTGGATTAGTAAGAGCAACATAGTTTTTGTGATCCTGCAATATAGACAACAGACCAGATAACTTTTTAGGTTTTATGGGAAAAACAAGTCACGTGGAATAAAATCGTAGCTTTTTTAACAGTAGATTTTAGATGATCGAACTGTATGAAGGGAACATGATACAATTATGATAATGCCATCCTTTTAAGACACTGCAAAAAGTACTACTCAAGGAAATTGTTTTGCCTTGTTGGTTCAAGCAAGCTGATGCTGGACGTCTGGGCTGGAGCATGCTGTTAAGTTTAGACAGTCATGGTAATAAAGTGCTTACATGCACTGGCAGTTGTATGCTTGCCAGAAAATTGTGTCTGAAACCCTTTAGAGTTTGGAGTGTTCTTTCCTTCTGTGAGTGTTACAGCCCAGTAATCACCTGACAAGTCCGTAATGGTAAGGCAAGTTTGAAGTCGAAGGGTGAGACCCCACCTGGAGTATTGCATC